CGCGATTCTCCGATCAGCTACACAGTCCACCTATAACAATCCCAAGTTAGTGGGAAGTTTTCACAAGATTATATGGAGAAACAGAACCCGCAATTCGTGAGACGCACACGAGAAATATTCTATACTTACCCTGATGTCTTTGACCTCGCAATGAATACAAAAGACAATTGGCGTACGGAAGGTCTGGATTTCTTCAATAAAATCGGTAGATACCAGACTGATCGCGCCAAGCACTGCGCTGTACCCCCTACTCCGTTTATCCAAGCACGAACTTAACAGTGTCACATATGTGTGATCAAGTCTGTGTGTGTGTGTGTGTGAAGATGGACAAGGTTCTATCTTCCTATCAATACGCAGAGAGAATTGAGTTCGTGGGGTTATATTTCAATCACTACCAGCGCGTCAGAGGAGACATGATTATGGTATACCAACTAATGCAAAACGGTACTTGAAGAGCAATGACAATGGGTGCGACAATCTACCGCGAGCAGAATCCTTCTGAGTGCTAAACACAAATGATACGGATTATAATACAATTTGCCTACGTCTACCGAGTAGAATTTGTTTACTGTCTGCTTTTTTAATGTTTCTTTTTATCGCTCTTATAAACATTGTAACTTATTATCGCGCATTATGGCTGTGGTTGACGTTCTGTTCATTTCAGCTATGTTCGTTTCATTTGACCCACTAAAGATTATGAAGGACTGTGTCAAATGTCACCATGGATTTCCAGACTGATGTTATAAATTATTAGGTGAATTATTATAGATTTCTATCTCATTCGAATTATTTATAAATGTATGCTGATTGGATTTTTGGTGACGATAAATTTTCCCAGACAGGTAACAGATTCTTTGACCTTCTATTGCCTATTACAATTATAAACGAGTGTCTGAAGATGCCTTAAAAACCAATTTGTCCAGTGAATTCATATGACGTTTCTATGAATGCGAGTGAAATCTTTTCAACAATGGCAGTGTAAACTTCATTGAGAAACAGACCGAAATCTTATACGTTTCACAATTAGGGAAAATAATTGGGGGAAAGGGAGGGGTTGAGCGCTTAATGTCATGATCATGCATGACGTCAGCCTTAGAGACAGACCCTCTATAGTTGATTATAGGGGGTCTCTAAGAGTAAATGTGCAATCTCTAATTTTACAATACAGAAAGTATACATGTTCAATTGGCATTATCTGTATCATTGTTTCTCATTTAACCTCAGATGCAATCGATCCGAGGAAATGATGCATCCGTTGGCGGAAACAAAAAATGAACAATTTCTTCAAGTCGTTTCTAAAGCGATCTAATATTAGAGAGTTACTAATTTCCATTTGCATGTCTTTCACGTTCATCTTGAATGTGACTTCGTATTTCATGTTGAAACTAGGAACTGTATCATATAAACCTCTCATACAGTGTTAACTAGTGATGGTTCTCATTAATTTTTTTTTCAGACAGTGATAAAGGAAAGCAGCACGAGATAAACGGAGATACGTCGAGGAAACATCTTTTCCGTTGTATTCATTTTCGTTCGAAATATACCTTATCAGAATTCCTGAAATGCTTTATATTTCCACATTCAGTTGGTTATTGGGTCTAACGTTGCGTCGTATTTCCGCGAAATGTCCGTTACAATGTTTTAAACGTTTCAGTTGACTCCACGTGGCATTGATATACGTTGCGTTGGTTCTGTAAGCATGTAGCACAGGAAAGTAAATGTAAGGTCGTGATAGTGTTTCCATATAGATGGTCAAAAGCGGGATTAAAGGATAGTGAGGTTCAATTGCCCTGGAAGTAGAAGAGAACCCTTCACACTCTTGTCGCGGGTGACGTTGAGGGGACTTGGTGATTATTAACCAATTTCTGGTGGCTGGTGTGTCGAATCGTGTTAGCATGATATACGAATTAGACGCGATACAATGAATGCGCATTTAGGTTATCGTATTCGCATCTAGGTTGCCCAGTGGGGATTGCAGGTTGATAGCGAATTCGATAGTTGCTTCAACATGCGTATACATATGTGCAGAGGGAGGTAAGCAGGTACATGCATGAATGGGTGATAATGTTATACTATGTACATATATATGTATGTTCACATGAATACCATGTATATAACATATTTAAGAACTGCGTTATTTACAATGTGTATTGCATCATCATACATTTCACATTTTTATATTTATACATTTCATTTAACAATAACATTACTGTTTGTAACTACTCGATTAAAAGTACATTATATACCACACAGAGAGATAACGTATTACATACATTTTTACACAGATTTTTATCTTATTTTCATAATGGTAGTGGAATATCTATTATTTTATATATTTATGATATATACATTTATATTACCTATTAGGGTTTATCATAGGAATGATAATTATATAATATATGATATATATACATACAAATATTTAGTACGTAAAATCACTATGTATGTTATATTTATGTGCACATAATTTTTTATAAAAATGACTATTATGTCTTTATATATATATATGTGTGTATAGGTATAATAGTTATTATATTTATATACAAATATAATATATATCTATATATATTTGTATAAAAGGTTATATATATGACTCATTGTATATATGTACTAAATATATGTAACATAATGATTCACTTTGGAAATTAAACTTGATTTTCGATGTGTAATTTCATGGGCATAATCGAATACGATTGGTGTTGCATGTCGGAAAGGATTCCAGTGCTTCAGAATATCTTTCATGCCTAATGGGTAACTAAATATGTAGATTAAACTGGTTCATTTTTGCGTTTGCATTTTCACTAGACTGCGATCCATCTTTTAAACTGCGCGTCAGGGTGTAGTAACCTTGGTAACGCAGTCTACCGTAGAAACGGCGGGCACTATATTTCGGCTTCCGAGATTGTCCCCAAGATACTAATACAAAACGCAAGCCATCTGTGTTGCTCGCTGCTCAAATTATCACCCAACGTTCATCTTTGAGGACACCCGTTCAAACTAGTGAGCTCAAAATGCCGATGGGAATACCGGCGTCAGTCATTCGCAATCAGAGTGTGTTTGATCTGGAACTCTCTGCCATCCCACGTCACCTATACGCCAATCATTGAATCTTTCAAACGGAGACTCAAGGAATCATTAGCACAACTTATGTTCCAACATAAGTGAAGCTGCATGCAGCAGTGGAAGAAACCTACCGTATTATGTGACATTTTACTCAGAGAATTTTATGTATCACTGTATTTTAAACCACAACACAAACCTATGGGACGAGAAAAGGATGAGCTTGGAGGTTATTCCCACAATAAAACTTTGACTTTGATTTTTCATCTTAAATCGCAAATTAAAGGTGCAGATTTGACTTTCAATATACCTTTGTTCAGCGTTCTTTTACTGTTCACACTGGATCCCCAATTCGGAATCTGTGGATGTGCATTGTGACAAATTGACATGGAGATATTCACCGGGTAAAAACACACGTCATGACGATCACAGAACCGTGCTGAATTGCTCCAACTAATATGGCGGCATGAGGCTCGGTTAAGTTGAATTGAACGTCCTCGGGTTGTGCAGTTCCATGTGTTAGTCAGTCTCTCGGAACCATATAGAATATCACTATTTAGTCTTAAGGTCAGATGTTCAATGTGAACCATCTTAATATGTGCCTATTGATTATTCCGTTTTTTCCCTCACAGTTGTGAGGAAGTTAGCAAAGAGCTCGAAAAAGAAAATGTGACCGACCGGATTGGTGACAGGTGGATTGTAATACACGAGTAGATCCAAAACGTGAATAGTCGACGCTCGACCGCGCACAACCGGGAATTAGAACCAGAGGAATATACAAACGTGAAATCCGCACTATTGGTAGATCACTAGGCGCAGACTGTTTATGCGTGACTACAGTACAGATAGGAAGGGGGAACCAGTCCGATTTGAACTAAGAAACGTCGTTCCATTCGAGAAGCTCTTCCACTTGCTTCCTAGCATTCATAAACGATCTACCACATGGCCTTGGAGAAAAGGTATTATTATTCGTTGATCACGCCAAAACATGGAGGACGGTAAAATATCCTGAAGATTATGACACCTTGCCGGAAAATCTCGACGCAGCTTATCGATGGTGCATCATTAATGATATCGAATTCAACGTTGAGAAATGCAAGTTTGTATTGTTGCGCCACAGGGATCACTTTCCATATTTACTTGGAAATCAGTCATTACCGCGTTCTGCAAACGAAAATGATCTGGAAGTTATTGTTCTTGAGAATCTAGAATGTTCCACACATTGCACAACAGCGTCATCAAAGGCCAAACAGCGCGTTGAATTGCTAAAACGTGTTTTTGGATTATTCGGAGCAAACTTATTGTCCTGTTTGCTATCAGCATACATTAGACCACACACCGAGTATGCTATACACGCTTGAATACCATGGCTGATTCGCCACCAAAAGGCACTCGAATGTCCGAAGATAACAGCAACCAAACTATTCAACAATTAAAGTCCAAGACCTACGGTGAAAGGCTGCGAATTCTCGGACTCTGCTCGTCTGAATACCGTGATCCCGGTATATCAACCTAAGCACCGGTGTGGTGTTCTACTAACAGTATCCAGGAGTGGTCACCTCCGAGGACATCCATTTAAAATTCTGCTTCAAAAGATCCGGCTACACAGTACGCGTCATTTTTTCAGCCTCAGAGTTTGCAACACCTGGAACTCTATTCCACCCCAACCATCGATTCATTCAGGTCATGACTGGAGGAAACATTGAAGCACCTTACTTTTTAGTGCCCGTGAGTGAACGCCAGAATTTCCTACTTAATTTTACTCCCAACCGAACCCAGTGTGTGTGCACAGATCCTATGGAATCCAATAAGCGTCAGCTTTGTAATTTACGCATGATAAAAATTTGAATTTGAATTTGACATAAAGTCTTTGAAATTCAACGGCCTTCCTAAGCTTGACAGAGAATAATGGGAATGGAACCAAAAAGGGTATGTCTTACCTTGGATTCGATAGATTTCAGCATACTGTTCATCAGATCAAGCAACCTGGTAAATTGATCACTGCCGGATTGTAGCGCGAGGTGATATGCGTGTTGGATAATCCTGTGAAATTCGGCGGTACAAGCAGGTAGAGCGAGAGCAAGATGTGGGACTATGAGACAAAACTGTTCCATTTATAACAAGAGTATAGGACGAGATATGCGGGAATGAGCTGTCAGTCACGGTCACGAATGAGGAAATCCAACCAATGCGCCGACTAAGGGTATATCGAATAATCGATAATCTGTACCCCGACTGATGCGTGATCGAAATCAGATGGAGTATTTGAACTAATGGTTCAGATGTCTAATATGTATGTATGTGTATAATAGTTCAGGAATTGTCAGAAACAGCTTGTTTTGTCTGCCAGATTTTATTTTTAAACGCTTAATGGATTCAGTGCGACAGAAATGTTTGTGATAAGCAACAAAGAGCACTGGACAGCTGTTTCATCTTGTTTGGGACTCGTCAGCAGTGCGTACTTTGTGTGTCCCCGTCAGGACTCGAACCGCGACTGTTCGGGTTGAGACTTCAAGCCCTTACCTCTGAGCTACACGGTCGACGGTTA